AAAATCGTATGTAATTACGACATCAAGAATTTGGCCTTACGCAAGATAGGCCATGCACTAGATAATCTGGACTGGAAGATTGTCAGAAGCATGCTTGAAGTAATCTTCCGAGAAACCGGCCTACGAATTACTGTGTGTTGCATTAACCCGAAGAGATCGTGTCCTTCAAAGTCAGTGGACTGTTATTTCTTTCTGAGGGGTTTATGCAGCGTTAGAGAGTCCTATAGATTCCGCCATCCTGGGCCTACATATAAAGTTGCTGATCGGGACGCTCAAATCTAAGAGGGGAGCAGTGTTACGAACATGCATTCAGCGTGGCCCATGTAACGGTTGCATCTCGAAGCAGCATCTCAGGCATCGAGAACCATCCACAGATCTCTCGAATGCAAGAGAACAATCCGTCACGTAGGCGAATTAGAAGTGGGAATGTTCTAGAACATAGTAACTTTGGTATATATATGTAACGATGTTAGGAGTAAGTTTAGTTAATAAGATAGTACCGAACTGTAAAGTTATAAATAAATATATTTATATAAATTCGAACCGCTCGTTTTATTTAATCTCGCTACAGTATGTATATCCAAAGAAATTTTCTGAATGAACTGATTAAAACAAATTTCACACTTGTAAGGCTTTTCTCCAGTATACAATCTCATATGTCGTTTCAAATCGTATACTCTAATAAACGGCTTAAAACAAATTTCACACTTGTAAGGCTTTTCTCCAGTGTGCAATATCATATGTAGTTTCAAATCGTTTACTCTAATAAACTTCTTCTTCTTCTTTTGGCATCATAACCCTGGATGGGTCTTTGCCTGTCTGGCTATGTCCTTCCATTCAGATCTCTCTTGTGCCCTTCTTCTCCATTGTCTTATGTTCATTGTTTTCAGGTCGTCTTCCACGTCATCCAACCATCTCGTTCTGGGCCTTCCTATGGGCTTCCATTGTAACATTTTCTTTGTTGTTTTTGCATCGTTTTGTCTCTGCACATGTCCCAGCCATGACAGTCTTTGACTTTTCACAAATCTTACAATGTCATAACCTTCATTTAACTCATTAACCTCGTCGTTCCTCCTGATTCTCCATGTGCCATCTTCCTCTTGTACCGGGTCATAAACTTTCCTCAGTATTTTTCTCTCGAATGTCCTGATTTGGGCTTCATCTTTTTTCGTCATTACCCAAGTTTCACATCCATAGGTTACTACAGGTCTAATCAGTGTTCTGCTCTAATAAACTGCTTAGAACAAATTTCGCACTGGTAAGCGTTTTCTCTAATGTGAACTTTCTTATGTCTTTTCAAATAAGATGTTATGGCAAACTGTTTAAAACAAAGTTCGCATTCGAAAGGCTTTCTTTAGTGTGCACAGTCAAATTACTTTTCAAATCGTACATTCTAGTAAACTGTTTAAAACAAATTTCACACTTGTTATAATTTTCTCCAGTGTGGAATCTCATATGTAGTTTCAAATTATTTGATCAAGTAAACTTAGTAAAACAAATTTCGCACTTGTAAGAATTTTCTCTAGTGTGCACGGGTAATAAAAGAGAATAAAAATTATGAAGAAAGATATGTTAATCATCAATGACCAAAACTTCGAAGCAGTCAATGAGTTCATATATCTAGGGACATCAGTTAACCCCAATAATAATACATCTGAGGAAATAAAAAGGCGAATAATAATTGCAAACAGGTGTTATTATGGTCTATCAAAGTACTTAGCTAACAAACGTCTGTCTCAAAAAACTCGTATAAGGCTGTATAGAACACTGATAGTCCCCGTTATTACATACGGATCAGAGGCATGCACGCTAACGAAAACAGATGAATCCGCTCTATCCATTTTTGAAAGAAAGGTGCTATGCAAGATATTTGGAGCGGTCTGTGAGAACGGAATATGGAGGCGTAGATATAACTTCGAACTGCAGAATATCTACAAGCATACGTTTGGTGGTAAAGATATTACCACTATAATTAAGCGAAACCGCCTGCAGTGGGCAGGACATGTAGCCCGGGCCCCTGAATCGAACATGATAAAAAAGATTCTAACAGCGCAACCTGTGGGAATGAGACAACGGGGTAGACCAAAGCTGAGGTGGATGGATGGGGTAACACAAGATGCGGAGAAGATCGGATTCAGCAACTGGAAAATTCAAGCAAGAGACAGAACAGAATGGCGTAGAAAGCTTGAGAAGGTCGAGGCCCTCTAAGGGCTGTAGCACCAAGATGATGATGATGATGATGAAGAAAGATATGATTTTTGATATTGAAATTATGATAAAATAATGTATATGATAAAAATTATGAAGAAAAACGATCCAATGACCAACAATAGCAATATAGTGATATCAAAAATTTAAGCTAATTGAAAGTGGAAAAGACAAAAATTGCCATAGTACTAATACTAATATTGCTCATAAACAAGAAAAATGATTGTGTCGGAGTCATAAATATAAGAACCGGTTTGGGAGAAACCATCGAGCAAAAAGATAAAAGAGGGAATCTAATCGTTATGAAAAGGAGACCAAAAAAGTGGCCTCTGATGGCGGACATATCCGGAAATGCAAAGGCGCTAAATTTAAATTTTCCAACACTTGTTAACAATACCTGTAAAATATTTTTCAGACAAGAAAGTTTTAATTAAATATTAACGATAATAGTCTAAAAAGTGACACAATTTGTAAAAAACTTCAATATAAATAAAATTTCATGTGACAGTTGGGACAAACAATAACATAACCAAACTAAATTTGACTTCTTAAACAAGGAAAGAGACTGTCTATCCTTGTTTAAAGTGGCCTCTCAAGATGGCACTTCCTGTCTAACAATATTTTTGTCCCCACTACCTTTACATTCCCTCTTTTATCTTTTTGCTCGATGGGAGAAACTGAACAGTCTTTCCCACAGGTTAATATTTATAATTAATTATCATACAAATATCTCTAGTTAACAGACCTGTTAACAAAATTTTAATTTTTGTGATACACTGAGCAATTTAAGTGTGGCAATTGCCATTTTTGCTGTTTTTCAAAATAAATTATTGTTAATTGTTTAAATCATTTAAATCACATTCTCTGCCAAAATGTGAATTAGGTAAACATGATAATATAATGGGGCATACTTGAATACCAAAAATATGCGGATTAAGGACAAGAGTTTAGGAGTTGGGGCTACCAATATTAAATTTTTCCTAAGAGAGTTGTAGAAGAATAAAGAAGATGCGAGCAGTAAATTAGTCTATGCAAAATTTAAATTATCAGCTTCATCATACACTCCTTTTATGGCTCCGAAGCAACAGCAATTGCTTTACAGTAATAAAATAAAACTTTTAATTTATCATTAAAATGCACCTGGTCTAAAATACCAATTACTTATATCTAATCACTTACAACACACTTAACCACTTTGTGAGTTTATTATATGACTATAATAGTTTACAGAGGTTTAGCAAATTGAAAAACTTAGAATGTTTACAATTACCTACAAGGTAGATTAAAAACGGAAAAGATTTAATTATATGGCAAGTGAGCGACCTATCCAATACACGAACTTCATGAACAAAGATTAAACTACAATTCAAAACAAAAAATATGCGTCAAGTGAGCGATATTTTCGGTCAGAGGCTAATTAATACTGATTTTGAAGAAATTGAAATGGTTAGATTTATCCAAAAGTTTCTAACGGAAGTTATTAGAACAAAGAAAGTAGCTTTATAGTGAAGTAACGAGGTAATACTATGTTTAGTTTCAAGATTATGTCAACGTAAACACAGTTGCTTGCGTGATCGGTGGGTCCGTGGTACCTGCAATATTAAGTTTGTCATTGGTTAGAAATTAAATGGTTGTATAATTTTCACATTCTGCAATTTTAACAGTGCTGAACCGACTTAATGGTTTTGTAATGTTCATTTTGTTGAATGAATCACCAAAATGGTGTTGTTGAGGGGATGACAATCTTCCAGAACAGATCTGATATAATAACGATCTCGGAGCCTATGTTTTATGTCTTAACAAATGATAGTGGTAGATATTTAGATTTGATTTTTACAAATTTGTCTCAAATTGAAGTGATACCAACTATAGACCCGTTAATGGTTTTACATAGTAAGCACTTACCTTATACATACACATAAAGAAACAGGGAAGGCCTGTCTCCTGTGGTGGATGTAAAACGGGCTGATGATTTGAGATTAGGCATAGTACTAGGATTGATTTAAAGACTGCTACTTTGATTTTAGAAATGAAAATTATTTGGCAATAAATTATTTCTTAGTATTAACCAATCAGTCAAAGATAAGGCAAATTTTATAAACAATTATTTTATTGATAAAAATATCATTCCAAATTATAACATGAACATTGACAAATTTCACAGAAGCTTCTTTCTTTGCCCAACTGAAGAAACTGAAGAAGTACTTTCAATTATTCAAAAAAATACATCCAAGTATGCTGAAGGTCTGGATGAGCTTAATGGAAAAGTTATCAGGAATGTAGCCCCTAATATTTTCCAACCTTTATCCGACTTAATTAAAGAATCTTTTACAACAGGATTCTCCAACATAAAGGAATCTAAAGGATTTCCTGTTTATAAGAATAAAGGTTTGGCAAGCAATCTTACTGATTATCTGCTAATTTATATACCTAGTCATGTTGCAAAAATATGAATCAGCATATTATGCACAGTAAGTCAACTATCTAGAATACTATAAATTATTACCTAAGTTTTAACATGGGTTTAGGATAAACAAATCCACTGGTACAGCTGTTGATGACTGCTTAAACTTTATTTATAATTCACTTAATGAGAAACAAAGCACTCTACGTTTATTTTATGATCTCAGCTGTGCTTTTGACTTGGTAGATCAAACTCCTACTAATTAAGTTAGAAGGTATGGGAATATTTTCAAAACATTGCCTATTATACAAATAAAATATCTCTATAGCCAAGAAAGAAAGATATAAAAATATAAGCCCTACAGAAGCCCTTTTATTACTTCTCTTACCTGAGTTATCTCCATCGGGTTCATTATTCAAGTCTTCAAAATCTGGGGATTTAAATGGCTGACTCTCTTTATATCCTTGACTACCTTCTGCAAACTCTTCCTTAATTCTAGCTTTTAGTCCTATTTCTAATAAATACTAATTACAACACATCATATAGCATTAATTTCTACTACTGTCTTACCTGAGTTATCTTCTGATTCATTTTTTAAGTGTTCCAGATCTATTGATGTGGATACCTGACATTCTATATCTTTTTGGTTAAATTCAACATCAAACTCTTCCTTAATTCTAGCTTTCAGTTCCATTTCTAATAAAATAATAATTACATCACATCACTTAGCATTAATTTCTACAACTGTCTTACCTGAGTTATCTTCTGATTCATTTTTTAAGTGCTCCTGACCTATTGATGTGGACACCTGACATTCTATATCTTTTTGGTTATATTCGTTATTTTCAACATCAAACTCTTTCTTAATTTCAACTTTAAACTCCATAGCTGATAATATAAACAGCGCCTATACTCTATACTCTTTTTGTACTTAGTTTGCTTCTCTTCACAATCACAATTGTGGTTTGCTCGATGTTTACTTTCACATTTGACATATTGACATTTGATCCCAGTGATGAGTGAAGTGAAGATAGCCTCAAGCTCAAATGGGTTTGACAAGTCTAGGAACCGTGGGCACAGAATAATAAACAATCAGAAGGGCCACTCTCAGATGCCGCCTTTGAAGTTTTTCAGCACGCACGCCATGTTTTAGGAGGACACAAACCACAGCCACCTTTACTTCCCACAAACATATGATTTGTGAGGTTATGCAATTGTTTACATTTATGTTTAATTATATTATATTTATGTTATTATATTTAAAACTGTTAATATAGTTGTATAGTATGTCTATGATTGCCGTAAGTCAAATAAACCTGGTTAATTTTTCCATGCACACCACATAAACAACACTAATTTCTTTAAAATCCTCCTAAAACATGGCGGAACGTCTGCGCGGAGGAGATGCGCGTACATAATTTTCCGTGGAGAGTGGGTATTCTGTTTGTTTATTATTCTGTGCCGTGGGTTTGACCACAGAATATTAAGTATTCTGTGGTTTGACGGTTTGAGCAAGATACTATGACCACAGAGTAATAAACAATCAGAATGCCCACTCTCCATGGAAAATTAAGTACGCGCATCTCCTTCGCGCAGACGTTCTGCCATGTTTTAGAGGGAACCAGTGTTGTTTATGTGGTGTGCATAGAAAATTAACCCGCTTTAATTGACTTACGGCAATCATAGACATACTATACAATTATATTAACATTGTTAAATATAATAACATAAATATAATAATAATTAAACATAAATATAAACAATTACATAACCTCACAAATCATATATCTGTGTCAAGGACACTACCTACTACACACAGATGTAGTCAACCGTTCTTGTATCTGTGTTATGTGTTTCCTTCTAAAACATGGCGCGCGTGCTGAAAAACTTCAAAGGCGGCATCTGATTGTGGGCATTCTGATTGTTTATTATTCTGTGGTCAGAGTCCAAGAACAGTTGACTACATAGGATAGTTCCATCGTTCCATCGCCCAAATTTGTCTGTCACTGCAACACGCGGCTGTGACGTAGGTGTGGGGATGACGAGCAATTATCGACCTTATTGTTACTATTAATTTTTACCGAAGATGAGCCTAATTTGAGATTAAAAAGGTTAAAACGAAAAATTTACGTTTTGTTTTTGTAAATAAATGGCAGATAATCAGATTTTTAACAGTTACTAAGACATAAATGATCTGTTTTACATGGCAAATAAAATTTATTTTCGAAATTAATGCATTTGCTAGTGTTATAATTAAATTAATAAATGTCAGTTTACTCTCAAAGTAAATATTTCTTTTAAATAAAATCTATAAATCCGTGTTTTACTTAGCTAGTCAGAGCACAAATTATTATCCAAAAACATTGATGATAAATAAAACTAAGTATTCAATACTGAACTATTTAGTTCGTAAACATACTTACATACATACATATTATAGGTAAAACTAAACAGTGTACAATACTAGGAAACTTTAGAAACCTTCCCTATGGACCAATTTTATTTAATTTTCTAATGTTTGACCTAGTTGAATCCAACACGGATAAGTTTTTTCGCTTCAAAGTTTCAGCTTTCCTGTATTTTAAATTTCTATAATTTATTCTAATTATTGTTATAAGTATACAAAAGTTTTTAATAAGCCCATGTGGCAACACTTTTTCTTTTTTTTTAAATCGTTTTTGAAATGTTTCCAACAACTCCATTATTTTTCCTATAGGTATCATCAATATATTTTTCATATTTATTCCATAATTTTATTTTTATGGACCACTCATCTGTAGGCTTGATAAGACCTTCATAAGAGAGTTGCTGCACCTATGATGGTAAACTATAACTATGTTTACTAACTTTGCATGTTAAATTACCTTTCATACTTGTTTAATAATTAGTTGTATTTTGCTTCAAAATCTACTTCAGGCTTTAAATCTATATTGTCATCAGCTTGTTAAAAAATTATTTCAGATTCAGTAATAGTATATTCATGTTGATTAGATGCAATATTCAAAATATTTGACCCAACCTTTGTAATTTCTGCCACAAGTTGCTTTTTGTTTATAATATCTAATCTACCTTCACGAGTAGAGACAGAAGGTGTGTCAAAGGTATATTTATACAAAGTGTTGAAACTGCAGTTTTCTTTAAAAGGCGTTTAGTAGGTAAACCTAAAATAAGTTACGTTAAAAAATTTTATAGGCATTTTATTGCTTAATCATTTTACCTAATAATTCATTTTGAAGATCTCTTTCATAGTCATTGTTTATAAAATGAACAGAGCATATTCTACTAGAATCAGGTTAAAATTATCAGCTCTTCTGCATCAGTTAACCCATTAAGCCCTTATAGGTTTCGAAACTAAATCCTTTCCTTTTGGAAAACTGTGAAAAATTAAAACGCATAATCTTGGGTTTCACACTCTTAAAATTATTGTCACAACCATATATGGCACATCTATTACCACCCATTTTGTTTATACAAGTAAATTGATATAGAAACAATAATTAAATAGTCTTATAAGGCCGTTAAATCACTAGTACAACAAAAAAATTGCCAGTGGGCACAACTATTCTATATAAAACAATAAGAAATGTCAACCAAGAATCCCCACGCCTACGTCACACTCAACCCAACGCATTTCTTACATTGGAGCATAGGACAAAATCAATCCTATCTGTGTTTAGTGTCCTTGGGTTTGACCCATTGTAGATTCTAACCATTCTAAAGGTCGATTCAGACACATCAGTCACGTCTCGTCACAGTGATTGCGCCGAACCGAACACTCCGTCATACAAAATATTCTTTAATACAAATATGTTGCCGGCATTTACACTCATCAGTTGACAATCAGTTTCCCAGCTGTCAGATAGTTGATAGTTCTATGACCAAACAGGGCCGGTTCGGCGCCGAGACTATGACGGGACTGATGTGTCTGAATCGACCTTAAAGCTCAATTCAGACACATCAGTCCCGTCATAGTCTCGGCGCCGAACCGGTCCTGTTTGGTCACAGAACTATCAACTATCTGACAGCTGGGAAACTGTTTGTCAACTGATGAGTGTGAATGCCAGCAACATATTTGTATTAAAGAATATTTTGTATGACGGATTGTTCGGTTCGGCGCAATCACTGTGACGAGACGTGACTGATATGTCTGAATCGACCTTAAAGGTCGATTCAGACACATCAGTCACGTCTCGTCACAGTCCTGGCGCCGAACCGAACAATCCGTCATACAAAATATTCTTTAATACAAATATGTTGCCGGTATTCACACTCATCAGTTGACAAACAGTTTCCCAGCTGTCAGATAGTTGATAGTTCTGTGACCAAAAAGGACCGGTTCGGCACCGAGACTATGACGGGACTGATGTGTCTGAATTGACCTTTATCGATGGTTTGACCACCGAACAACCCGAATCCCGGTAAATAAATAAATAAATAACAAACCCGGTGGTTTGTTATTTATACTGTGTCACAGCCACCTTTACTTCCAAGCCATGAAGTAGAAATTTGGCAACAACGCGTGGTAGTCCGACTGTGGTTTGTTTTGGTTTAACATTTCATATAGGAAGGCTTGTAAAGTTTGTTGAATTTATTGTTTTTTTAACTTTATTCGAATGTTTTATTTGTAAATTGTGTTTAAATTAATTAGAAAATATTAATATAAGTGAAATTTCATTAAATTTAGAACTTTTAGAAGATTTTTAACGACAATTTAAAAGGCAAGTATAAATATAACCTACAAAACAAACTGAAAATAATAATACTTTTGGATCTTGTTACAAACTAAAAACAACAATAATAATACTTTTGTTTTTTGTTACAGATGCTCTGGCATTGTTGTGTACCTGGTTGCAACACCAATTATGCCAGTACTTTAAAAACAAAACAGGCAGAAAGTACGTTTTTGTTTCCCAAAGATCCCCAAAGAAGGTATACTGGGTTATGCTCTATTCATAGAGAAGGCTGTACAATTACCAAATCTTCCGTAGTATGTTCCAAACATTTTCATGAAGATGATATTCAGTAGACTGAACAATGAGAAGATAAAGATGGAAATGTACACATTGAAAAGTTAATATTTCCCAAATTAAAAGGCTTTCCCAGTTCCTAATATATTTCCTGAAGTACCATCATATGTAACTGTTCATCGTACTAAAGAAAGAAGGAATCCCAAAGACAGAAGAAACTTTTTGCATAAGAAGAGGGAACAAGAGATAACATAATTATGTCAATTAGACTTAGACAATAATATCCCATTGAAAAACTGGACAAGTAAAATTACAAGTGACTGTGTATATTTCTATGTATTAAACATTAATCAGTTGGGACACAAGTGTGATAATATTTGTGTAATATGTAGTGTAATAGTTAGCAGTAATTTTAGTGTAATCGTCAATGTAGGTAAGAATAGATTAAGTGGTAATGATTTGAAATGGATTTTACAATATAGTAAATTAACAAGATGGTCACAATTAGAGAACTTACTTTCTCATTTAGATCTGCTTTTTAGATAAGTGATAACAAATTTGAGTATTACATTCAAAAATCTTTTGAGAATATAGGCTATTTTAAATCGATATACAAGTTATAAATGGTATGTTACATTCAACACATTTTTCATGTATACCTCTTTTAACTTGGTCTATATGACAACAAACCTATTCATATTTAAAATTGCTACTTTTGTATATCTAAGTATGAAAATTCAACAAAAGTTATAAGTAAATAGTAAAATATTTAATTTTCAATTAGATTAATTTAGAACCATATTTATATTGTGTCTGATTTCTTAGGATGAATTTTTTAATCATAATAGTTACACTAAGTTTTTACTTAGCACAAATTTTATATCTTTTGTATTTTTAATAATCTTTTTAAATGTCGTGTTAATGTATTGGGTTATTTATATGATTAAGTATTTAATATTTAAAATTTCTAGAGATTCTTGACTGCATTTGATTGTAAGATTAACTGTTTGACACTGTATTTTAAGTGCAATAAATTTTACTCTAGTGATTATTTTATTGGTAATAATATAACCTAAATAATAATAAAACTTTATATATATTTACTAGGTATATATAAGGTTTTATTAATTTAATTTCCCTAAAAATATTTCTGTAATGAATTGAAGTTTTCAAAATATCAGTTTCCTAAAATTCAAATTAGTTTAATATTCTGGTAGACCTTACAGATGATTATCGGACTACCGACGTCATAGAATGCGGTGTTGCCTTTTTTACTTCATGGCTTGGAAGTAAAGGTGGCTGTGACTGTGTCTGTGTTATGTATTTCCTTCTAAAACATGGCGCGCGTGCTGAAAAACTTCAAAGGCGGCATCTGAGAATGGACATTCTGATTGTTTATTATTCTGTTCTTTCACATAGACTATTCATTAAAAGTTACTGTTAAATATTTCAAAAATTAATCAGGAATGCTTTTTATTGTTGTTAACAATTTATGGATGAAATGGAAGTTACGGCGAAATGGAAAATTTCATAATTTAGTAAAAAGTTTCATTGAATACTTTTTTGAACTGGACAATTGTTCAATGAAATAATTTGGAAAATTATCTAAAAAGTTTGATGAAAAGTCCTGAAAAAATTAAATTTTTGGTTGAAAAATTTTGAAATTTTTTAAAATTGGTTCGTTAGTTTTTGTGCAGAAAAACAGTATAATAAAAGTTATGTGACGGTTTTTCGTAGTGTTGGAACAAACCTATTTTTAATTAAAAGTTATGAAATTAAAAAATAAATACTTTGAATATTGTAAATATCATACATTTTTCAGTTATAAAATTAAAAATTTAACAATTTAATATATTAAAAATAAAGATTTTATTGTGAAAAAACAAAAAAAAGACAGTTTGCAAATCAATCGTATCGAAATTTATTTACAAGCCGTAGATGCAAAGTTTAAATAGCTCCGTTCATACTCCTTTCGTCCTTTCCCACTTCCCCCTAACTACATATTTCAGTAAGCCGACGACCACGGGCCACGGCACCACGCTTTGGGTTTATGCAGCCACCCTCTTAAGGAGTGTTTTGAAGTATAAACCGTAACCAAATCGCCCATTTGAACTGCTCTTCTTGCAAACTATCCTATACTCTATTCGCTTAGCTCGGGCATATTTTGACAGATTTATTGTCGGAAACCTACAACACAACAATTCATACTTCTCAGTATTAATAGCTCAAGTATACTACTATTGCAGACTTCTTTCTTTGAAAAAAGAAGAATTATTCTGAATAGTGGAAGTGTATACTAAATCCATCAAAATTTGGGGAGTGTGTATTTAAAACATATATTTTAGTTGTTATAATTTAACATAACTATTTATTATATGGTGCAGATAAATAAATATTGATTGTCGCTAATTCGCAAAAGCTCTATTTTATTTACTATTTAGTTTGTTTACTATTAATATTGGCTATGAGTATGTGTGCTTGGTTGCATAGTAATTTCCAGCCACTATTAGTCTGTCAAAAAGAAACTAACTTCGCAAAAAAAACATAATTAATTCCATTGAGTTATACTAACTCAATGCTAAATTCACTAGACAGTTCGGACTGGGAATAGCGAACCGAGTATATCATCATGTCATTTATTGACATATAACCCTCTTATCTTGATTGACATCGCTTTTCTACCATTAAATTAAGCGTCTATATTCTTTGAATTCTTTGATTAAATGTCACCACACACCCTTTAGTGAACAATACTTTTAATAATTATAAATAAACATATTTAATTAAAATGAGTGACGAAGTCCAAGAGGTGGGCGACTCTTTACAATCAATGAACATTACACATGATTTATCTCCAGAAAAGCACAAAGTGGATATTTTGTTGAAACCGACAGGAAACGCACCTATTATGAAAAAGAAAAAGTGGACTGTTGATAGTGATAAGAAAATCGGATGGATAATAGAATTTATCAAAAAATATTTAAAACTAGAACCTAATGAAAAATTATTTCTGTATGTAAACCAAACATTTGCGCCATCGCCAGATCAGATAGTTAAGAATTTATATGACTGTTATAACACAGAGGGTAAATTAGTGCTTCACTACTGCAAGACACAAGCGTGGGGCTGATTTTTGTGCCAGAGGTGTCTATGTGTGCATTTACATTTAACAATTTTTTATGTTTATAAACTATTATCGTTTCAGGTAAAACATTTTATGTTAAACCAGCAACATGATGATTTTACACTGCTTTAAAGTGTTTTGTGATATTTGTTTATAAAAATATACATATATGTAGCAAAGTATAAGTATCAAAATAAATCTGTAATTTCTATAATTGGTTTTCTTTTTACCAGTAATATTTCAGACCAAAATCTTTCAATGTTTATATAAATAACATGTCTTTCTTACATTTTTTTTTCTGTGGATTTAGAAGCAACAATGAACAAAAAAAAAACATGTAAATGCACCAGAAACTGTAAAACAAAACTCTAACAATGGAATAGGTTCAGAAGGGCTTTTAATTATATATTTGTACATAGCATTCTCCTTATCTAATCTTTGCTTTATATGGTTCCAAATAAAAACAATCAACTCCTGGCAACTTCACCTACAGTACTCCCAGATTTCCCACATAGCCAAGATAGACCACTTGTAATAGAAGTTGGTATCAAAATACCAATAATAACATATTTTCCTTGACCTAGGTGGAACTTTAAAAAGAAGACTGGGTGACTTACTGAGAGATTCGACAAATATCTGGCATATATAACCCCAACACAAGAAAATTTGTTGGAGCTGTTATCACTATACCTAGATAATATAAAGAGTATGCCCAGGATGGGATGAAAAATTGTATCAAGAATACAGCAAAAACCAAGACTGTGAATTGCAGTTTGGATACAGCCAGATGACAAAAATGGATGGAGACTATGGGAAAACTAGACTTAAGTAAATCAAGTGGAAAGCATGGCCCTTACTAAGAAAACTTTGTAGTAGCGAACATCCAACTAAAGACAAAGTACTAATAGTTCTTAACACAGTGGTCTTATACATTGTAGCAACCTTAAGAGCACCTAAACTGTGCCTGTGATCTAACCCCAGTTGAATAGATCAAATCCTACCCCTAACAACACATACATATTGAAGAAGGGTTTCAAAGCTAAAACATCTGTTGTTAACGATACTGTCTGGAGAAAAGGACTTATCTGCAAACTACTCTGAGTAAAAAAATAACTAAACTCATCAATAGTTTGCTCACCTACATACCCTTTCAAGTCACAAAGGCCAATTTTAAAAGTATCCAAATGAAGCTCAGCAAGACTGCCCTAGGGATCTGTTTTGGCACCCTTATTGTTTAATTTATCCTTCGCACATAGCATAGGTACCAACATAAGTTTGTCATGTCCAACTATTACAGAATATAACGTGAGTTTAAATGCATTATGCACACAACTCAAATACTATGTATTTCATGGTTTGTATTAACTTTTATTAGGTCTATAGTAATTTACAGTTATCTGACTTCTTCAGAGACTACCTGAGTCTCTGACAAAGCAAGGTTATGCAGAAATAACGCGTTCTAAGACTAATGAAACTGATTCATACACAGTGTTTGGCGAGTTGTGCTCTTACGCCAAATATATATTTGGCTTTTCAATTCATTTACAGTTATATGTAGGTATACAGATATGTATGGGATTTGGAAAATAAAAAAATACCAATGAGACAAATTATCAACTTTTATTTTGAAAATACATACAAGCTATTATGATATTTAGTTGATACTTATGTGTCACCCAGCATAAGAGTTTAAAAGCCACTGATTCAATATCATAAATATTATGACAATTATTTATTATAATTTCGCAGTTTTCTAGGATTAAAAAAAAAGAAGATTAGTAAATAGGTTTGGGCCATTCTTTTGCTAAGTGATGCATTATGTATTTAATTTTAACTTAACCCTATATATGTAGTTTTCACTGTTTGACTAGGACTATTTCTACATATCACATCCAAATTTAACAAATAAGTAAAAATATAATGTTAGTACACTAATAATTTTAGTAGCACACATATTTAAAAAAGTTATAAAAACTTGCTAAGTATGTCATTAGCTAAAAATTTTTCTAAGTAGACGTTTTTTATAAAAACAAATATGTAAAAAATCTATTCTAGTTTTACTTTTAGTTTTAAATTATTAAAGACAGACAAAATTTTAATCCATTCACTGACGATCACGAATCGGCACGATATTAAGATCCCACTGCAAGATCACTAGTTAATCAAACACATTTTTTATGCATTTAAAATCAGGAGAATATCGAAATAAAATTTTTGAGTTCAAAGGAGTAGTGAGGCGCAATACAAGGTGTTGCTTTCAGATAACACCTCTAACCTCTCCTCCCAATTCCTATCCTCACCTCCAAGAAGTGTGATCTTGATCACATGGGTAAACCCCGGTAAACCTGAGCAATCCTACTGAAGATAAGAGTGGCACAGTTGGCAATGGCAAACAAACGAAGTGTTTCCCTCATAAAAATATTCATAAAGGAACCTGGATATACCGGGTACTAATAAATTTAATCAAATTGATCACATATTAATATCTAAGCGGTGAGCAACCTCCGTAACGGATGTTAGAACTTATGGAGAAGTAAATTGCGATTCGGACCATTTCTTGGTTATATCTAAGATAAAACAAAGAATATCAATGAGAAGAAAAGAGAAAGGCATCAAACAAAAAAAATGGAACACATATTTTAAAATTTACACATTTAAAAATCCTAAAAAGAAGAATGAGTACCAGCAGAAAATAAAAGTAATATTAAATGAAAAACGAGAACAAAACAACATTGAAGAGGAATGTAATGTCATCCAAACGATAGACAACTAATAGACCGCATATGGACACTAGAAGTCATCCCAGAAGATTGTAAAGTAGGAATCATACTTCCTATGTACAAAGGGGGAGACAAACGACTCTGCAAAAATTATAGGGGCATAACAGTTTTAAATGTCGTCTACAAGATATTATCAGGAATTATATACATCCGCCTGGAATCGTTTTCAGAGGAGATGATTGGTGAATACCAATGTGGCTTCAGACCAAAGAGGTCAACTATAGACCAAATACATATGTTAAGAGGTATACATGAAAAATGTGTTGAATATAACATACCTATTTACAACTTGTATATCGATTTTAAACAAAATTTTAAGCAAATGAGGAACGAGAAACAGTCTTTGGAAGTCATACTCTTGGACGTGTTGACAACTTCACATACCTTGGGTCGCTATTGACTGCTACCAATAAAACAAGCGAAGAAATCAAAAGACGAATAAATCTTACAAATAGGGCATACTATGGACTCCAAAAGCATTTCCACTCAAGAAAACATTCAAAGAAGAACTAAAATTATTATATACAAAACATTGCTGAGGCCGGTCCTCACATATGGAGCAGAAACATGGACTCTAACGCAGAAAGATGAAAGACTTTTGGGAATATTTGAGTGTAAAATACTCCGCAAAATATTTGGAGCTGTAAACGACAAAGGTCAGTGGCGCAGAAGATATAATTTTGAATTGTATCAGCTCTTTGATGAGCCAGATATCATAACGTTCATTAAAAAACAGCGACTTAGATGGGCTGGACACATAATACGAATGCCAGAAAATACGATTGCTAAAAAGCTAACCACAGGAACACCTGTAGGAAAAAGAAGTAAAGGCCGACCGCGAATTAGGTGGTTAGATGGAGTGGAAACCGACTTACGAATATTAAAAATCAGAAGAAGGCAACATGTTGCCAAAAACCGAACAGAATGGCGACGAATCTTAGAGCAGGCCAAGATCCACAGAGGATTGTCGAACCAAAGATGATGATATCGATTTTAAACAGACGTTTGATGGAGTAGATCGACAAAAGAAGCAACTATCTATATCAGGGATACCCAATAGGTTGGTTAAACTTATACGAATGACTCTGCAGGGTTCCAAAGCTATGGTGAGAATAGATGGAGATATGACGCAGGCCTTTGAAATTGAAGTTAGACAAGGTGATGCCTTATCAACAACACTTTTTAATCTAACTTTAGAAGCTGAGTGCACAAAATCGAATCAACATGAGAATCTGAAGGTAGACAACCATACCTACAAATATGCCTCCATTTTTCCCTACCTAGACTCAATAATAAATGACAACAACAGCATACCAATAATAACATAGTCAAGAAATACAAGCACGGATTTTTAGCAGTAATTTTATGCATGCAAAGACTTCATGAAAAGTAAATTACTAAATCGTGAGTCTAAGCTTAGAATCTACAAAACAGTAATTAGACCAGTGGTCACATATGGATGTGAAACGTGGACCCTCTCAAACACTGACGAAAATCAACTGAGAATATTTGAGCGCAAAATACTAAGGAATATATTTGGACCAACCCAATGCAGCGATTTGGTCAGCTAGAAAGAATGCCAGATAATCGAGCTGTAAAAGCACTCCAGAGATGGAAGCCCCAAGGAAACAGAACAAAAGGAAGGCCCCGTAAAAGATGGATAGATGACGTAGAGAGGGATCTTAAAACCATGAACATCAGGCAGTGGTGAAGGAAAGTATCCGACAGGGCAGAATGGAAGAACATTGTTAAGCAGGCCAAGACTCACAAAGGGTTGTAGCGCCATTAGAAGAAAAAGAAGAAGATTAATTAAATTAAAAATATTTGCGGCCACTTTTTGACTGGCAATCTTTTACCAATGTATTCTCCTAATTTTAAATGAATGTAAAAATGTGTAAATGTCTAAAACTTAAGACTGTAGTTACTCCTGTTGGGTGTCGATCATACTCACACGCGTGACGTGTCTATAACCTATGTACGCTCTCTATGTAGATATTTCATTTTCTACGTAATTTTTGGTAGGCAGCGAATGGGTTAATTGGGAGTATGATCGGCTAAATAGAATATTGAATTTTTATGAGGTCTACCTACCAGGTACAGTTTGTTCACTTATGGGATTCCTATTGTAAATTGCTTATTTTGAACCAAAACAACAAATAATAAAATATAATTGGTTAACTACAAGTGATCATGCAACAAAATTAAAACTTTAAAGTAAATTTTAATTATTTTGCGTGTATAGCTACGTGATCTTCTTCGTAGAGTAACAATTATACATGAACACAACATGACAAGAAGAAATAGAAAATTTCTATGAGACTCTCTAAAAGTGACAAAAAAACATGAACTAACTATTATCAGGACAATTTTAACGCCAAAATAGGACAAGGTACTGTTGAGAAGGATGAGATGACATTTATGGTCTTGGT